GTCACTGCTGCTCCCACTGAAGTGTCCCGGCGGTTTTGGTGACACCTTCCACAGCTGGAGGCCAATCCCAGCTGGCAGGGCAGCTCTGGTTTATAGAACTTTCCACCAGATTTGCCCAATTTGGCCCCAAATTCCCTGCGGCAGGAGCTGCTGCAGGGCGGCCCCTCTGCCTGCCGAGCCGGGGGAACGTGGGCTGGGAAAGGCCGAGCCTAAACCCGGCCTAACCCGGGCCAGAACGCGGCCTAACCCGGGCCACAACCCGGCCTAAGCCCGGCCTTTGCGCACTTTGGGGCTCGGATTTTCTCCATTTTGGGTTGTTTTTTCTCTTCCCCTCGTTGCGGCAGCACCGGCCCCTGCCGAGCTGTGCAGGGAGCCGGGAGGGGACACCGGGATGGGACCCAAAGAGGGGACACCGGGATGGGACACCGGGATGGGGACACCGGGATGGGACACCGGGATGGGACACCGGGATGGGGACCCAAAGAGGGGACACCGGGATGGGGAACCCAGGATAGAACCGAGGAACGGGACACCGGGATGGCACCGAGGGAGGTGACACCGGGACGGCACCGAGGGAGGTGGCACCGAGGGAGGTGACACCGGGACGGCACCGAGGGAGGTGGCACCGAGGGAGGTGACACCGGGACGGCACCGAGGGAGGTGGCACCGAGGGAGGTGACACCGGGACGGCACCGAGGGCGGTGACACCGGGACGGCAGGGCGGGCCGGGAGCGGCGGTGGGGCGCACAGGAGCACGATCCCCCCGCAGTGTCCCCTCACCTGTCCGGGCACTGCAGCAGCTTGTGGAACTGCTCGGCCGAGCCCGCGGCCGCCACCGCGCCCGCCATGGCCGGGCCGAGCCTGCGACACGTGAGGGTGGGGGGGGACACCGGCGGTCACGTGGCGCCGCCCGCGTCACGTGCGTCCGGCCCGTCACGCGCTTCCTCCCGCCTCACGTGTGTGCCCCGCGTCACGTGTACCCCGTGTCACGTTCACTCGCCGTGTCACGTGCGCTTCCCGTGTCACCTGTCCCCTGTGTCGCTTGTCCCGTGTCACGTGTGCTCCCCGTGTCACGTGTACTTCCCGTATCACTTGTCACCTGTCCCCCGTGTCCCTGTCCCCCGTGTCCCTGTCCCCCGTGTCCCTGTCCCCCGTGTCCCTGTCCCGATGTCCCTGTCCCCATGTCCCTGTCCCCGTGTCCCTGTCCCCGTGTCCCTGTTAGCCCCGTGTCCCTGTCCCCATGTCCCTGTCCCCTGTGTCAGTGTTAGCCCCGTGTCCCTGTCCCCCGTGTCCCTGTCCCCGTGTCAGTGTTAGCCCTGTGTCCCTTGTCCTCATGTCCCTGTCCCCGTGTCCCGTTACCCCGTGTCCCCTGACAAATACTGTGTAGTTTTATATCTTTTTCTTTGTTTTCTATTTTAGCCTATAGGAACAGACAATAAATGGAGATATTAATAGTTTATTTTGCATTTATTTGCTTTTTGAGAATTCAGGTAAAACATTGTTGATTAATGTGTCAAATGATGACATTTATCCCGTGAAATTCCAGGCTGTTTCATGAGCAAATTTGTAACAGCACAGAGATCAGAGTGCTTTGGATGAATTTTTGTCCCTTTCTTTGTAACAGCACAGAGATCAGAGTGATTTGGATGAATTTTTCTCCCTTTCTGCAGCAGCAGGGTCTGGGTCCAGACATTATGGGATGGAGGCCGAGGCTCCGTGCCACGGTTCTGCTCTGGGAACGAGGCAGATGGAACCCCTGGAAATAAATCTCTTCCCTCCGTGGCCGATGTCAGCTCCAGCTCTGCCCCATAAATCAAACCCTGAGCCTTGAGAGCTTCCCGAGACCTTTTCCAGCTTCCTTGGGAAGGGCAGGGTGAGGATTGCTGCTCCAAATGGATAGGCCCAGGGAGACAGAGAGGAGCTAAATCTGCCTCCCCTCGGGCTGTATTTCTGGGATCCCATATGGAGCCTTGGCAGGAGCCAAGGGAAGCCTCAAGGACTCGGGGTGGAGCAGGCAGGGGGCAAATTAACATGGCAAGTGCCAGCTTGTCGGAACTCAGAATGTCCCTCAGACATTTTTGGATGCTCCAGGCCCTGGTCAGAAGCATTTGAGACCCTGGCAGGCAGCTGGAAACAGCTGTGATTTTGGGTTTGAGCCATGGAACGATTTACCAACCTTGCAGGAAGAACAAGAAGTCACAAAAGTTTAGATATTATAGTAGAAGTAGTCACAAAGTAAAGGGAAGAATTTTTGAGTGTTGTACAGGGGGGTTTGGTTTTGTACATGGGGGTCAGAGGGTTTAAGATGGAGGGATTTGGGCCTGCCCTGTCCTCCCTCTTTCTCCTTCCTTACCTCCATGTTCTTGGTGATGTTGGCACTCACAGATTGGTTTAGAGTAGAAAAGCACCATTTAATATAGGTAATAGGCATTGGGGAAAAACTGTACCCATGTAACACGTAATGTACCATATAAAAGATAGAAAAGCACCATTTAATATAGGTAATGGGCATTGGGGGAAAACTGTGAACATTTAACACATAATGTACATATAAAAGATAGAAAGGCACCATTTAATATAGGCAATAGGCATTGGGGAAAAACTGTACCCATGTAACACGTAATGTACCATATAAAAGACAGCAGCAGCCCTGGGCAGGGAGAGAAGAAGAAGAAGAAAAAGACGAAGAAGACAAAGAAGAAGACAAAGAAGGAGAAGGAGAAGGAGAAGGAGAAGGAGAAGGAGAAGGAGAAGGAGAAGGAGAAGGAGAAGGAGAAGGAGAAGGAGAAGGAGAAGGAGAAGGAGAAGGAGAAGGAGAAGGAGAAGGAGAAGGAGAAGGAGGAGAAGAAGAAGAAGAAGAAGAAGAAGAAGAGGAGGAGTCAGAGAGGATGTCAGGGTGTGTGTGTGCCTCTGCCTGAGCTGTGAGCAAACCACAGCAGCTTGAGAAGAAAATCTTTTAGATAACTTGCAATAAACTGCCTTGAGACCGGACAGCAGAGACTGCTGAGCCTTTCTTTGGAAGTTCAGCTTGGAGGAGAGACTTTTCCACCACCCAGAGCCCCAAACCAGGCCTGGGTTCCATCACCAGGTGATGCTCTGCTCACCTGCAGCCCCAAGGAGAAGGATGTGGAGCCCAAAGCGGGGTGAAAAACCCCCGAGGGAAGAGGCTGGTGCTCCCAGCTGCTCCCAAATCCCACATCTGTGTTCCCATCCTGGAGGGGTTTCTTGGGCAGGGCTCGCCTGGAGAGGACGAGGTGGAAATTTGGAGGTGTCCATGAGCACAGCTGGCACGCCGAGATGGATGTGGCACGGAATGCCGGGGGTTTTGGTGCATCCCGTTGTTCTCCCCAGGAACAGGCACTGGAAACATCCCCAGAGCCGTACTGGTAGGACACGTAAGCAGCTCTGGGAGGTGGCTTGGAAATAATGAAACAAATCGGATTTGTTCGGGCTGGGAGAATCGGGATTGTTCTGGCTGGGGGAATGGGGATTGTTTGGGTTGGGGGAATCGGGATTGTTCGGGCTGGGAGAATCGGGATTATTCGGGCTGGGAGAATGGGGATTGTTTGGGTTGGGAGAATCGGGATTGTCCGGGCTGGGAGAATCGGGATTGTTTGGGCTGGGAGAATGGGGATTGTTCAGGCTGGGAGAATCGGGATTGTTTGGGCTGGGTGAATCGGGATTGTCCGGGCTGGGAGAATCAGGATTGTTTGGGCTGGGAGATTTGGGATTGTTTGGGCTCGGAGAATCAGGATTGTTTGGGCTGGGAGATTTGGGATTGTTCAGGCTGGGAGAATCGGGATTGTTTGGGCTGGGTGAATCGGGATTGTCCGGGCTGGGAGAATGGGGATTGTCCGGGCTGGGAGAATCAGGATTGTTTGGGCTGGGAGATTTGGGATTGTTTGGGCTCGGAGAATCAGGATTGTTTGGGCTGGGAGATTTGGGATTGTTCGGGCTGGGGGAATCGGGATTGCTCAGCCTGGAGAAGGATCCGGGCTGAGCCGAGTGTGACCTTTCAGTGCCTGCAGGAGCTGAGAGATGGAGGGACAGGACCCAGGGAATGGCTCCCACTGCCAGGGCAGGGCTGGATGGGAGATTGGGAATTGGGAATTGTTCCCTGGCAGGGTGGGCAGCCCTGGCACAGGTGCCCAGAGCAGCTGTGGCACCCCTGGATCCCTGGCAGTGCCCAAGGCCAGGCTGGACACTGGGGCTGGAGCAGCTGGGACAGTGGGAGGTGTCCCTGCCGTGGCAGGGGGGCACTGGGTGGATTTGGGGTCCCTTCCCAGTGTGGCCATTCCATGGGCCGGACTCAGCGCTGCGCGATCGCTCCGGGCCCGGGTCGGAACCGGCACCGCGTCCCCGGCAGAACCGGGGGAGGCTCCGGGGCCGGATCGGGCTGTCGGGGGTGGATCCAGGGGAGGTTCCAGGGCGGATCCCCGTTCCAGGGGCAGATCCCGGGGCGATGCCGGTACCGGGGGGGAGGTTCCGGGAGTGTATCCAGGGTCAGTCCCGGTTCCAGGGGCGGATCCCGGGGCGGTGCCGGTGCCGGTGCTGGGGGGAGGTTCCGGCGATGGATCCAGGGGCGGTCCCGGTGCCGGGGCGGTGCCGGGATGGATCCCGGAGTGGTTCTCGGGACGGATCCCGGGGCGGATTCCGGTTCCAGGGGCGGATCCCGGATTCCGGGGCGGTCCCGGTACCGGGGGCGGATCCCGGGGTGTATCCCGGTTCCAGGGGCGGATCCCGGGGCGGATCCCGGTTCCAGGGGTGGATCCCGGTTCCAGGGCGGTCCCGGGGCGGTTCCGGGGGCGGATCCCGGTTCCAGGGGTGGATCCCGGTTCCAGGGGCGGTCCCGGGGCGGTCCCGGGATGGATCCCGGGATGGATCCCGGTTCCAGGGGCGGATCCCGGGGCGGATCCCGGTTCCAGGGGCAGTACCGGGGCGGTCCCGGGGCGGTGCCGGTTCCCGGGGTGGATCCCGGTTCCAGGGGCGGTCCCGGGGCGGTCCCGGGGCGGTGCCGGTGCCGCCATGGCCGCGGGGCCGGTGCGGGGCCGGCGTGGAGCGCTCGGGCCGGGGGCAGCCGGGGAGCCGGAACGCGTGAGTGGGGAACGGGAACGGGAATGGGAACGGGAACGGGAACGGGAACGGGAATCGGGAATGGGGACGGGAACGGGACCGGGACCCGGACCCGGACCGGCCGTGGGGCAGAGCTCGGCCCGGTCCCGGTCCCGGCCCCGCTCCGCCCGGGCCGTGTCGCGGGTGGTGCCGCCTCGGGGACGGAGCTCAGCAGCGTCGGGTGTTTTCCTTCTTTTTTCCTCCTTTTCCATCCTTTCTTCGCGTTTTCTCTCCCCCGTTTTCTTCCCCCTCCCCTTTTTTTAAATTTCTTTTTTCCTGTTTTCCTTTTTGAATTTTTCGCTTTTCTCCTTTCTTCATTTTCCTTTCTTCCTTTTTAATTACTGTTTCCGTTTGTTCTTTCTTTTTTTTCTTTTCCCCTTTTTTCTTTCCTTTTTTTCTTTTTCTTTTTTTTTCTTTTCATTTATTTTCCCTTTCCTTCCTTCCATTTTTTTTCTTTCCCCCTCCTTTCTTTCCTTCCCCCTTTTTTTTTTCCTTTTCAAATGTTTTTTCTTTTCCCTTTTTTTCTTCCTAGTATTTTTTATTTTCCTTTTTTTTGTTCCTTTTTTTCTTTTTTTCTGCCTTTACCAGGCAGCCTCACTAATTCCATCTATTTCTGCTCCAAGATGACAGAGAGGAATCAGAATCCCAGCCTGGTTTGGGTTGGAAGGTTGGATTTTAAGGCATTTGGACTTAGAGGAATAGCAGATTTTCAAGGCCAGAGTTCCCAATGTGTCCGGGTTTGGACTGATCTTCAGGTAGAGTTTCCCAGGTGGATCTGCATGGATCTCACATTCCCTCTGCTTTCCCAAACAGAGGGATTTTCTTCCATAGGGAAAAAGCAAGGAGCATCCCTACAGGGCCATCATTCCTCAGGGATCCAGGGAGAGCTGGGCTCTGTGGAGCCCTGAACAGGAGACAGCCTGGCCTTAAAAACGGGGTCAAAAAGCAGAAATTGCACAACAAGAACATAATAAACTTGGGGGAAATCTTTAAAATTGTACCAAAAATACCCCAAAAAATGAGCAAAACTTTTCCTACAACTCCTTCGGGTCTGTTGTCCGGTGGAGCTGGGTTTGGCAGCAGCTTGGGCTTCATCTCTGGGGTCTTTAGTCAGTGAAAACGAGTGGGATTTCCCAGGACTTTCAGCTGGACAAGAGGATGAGAGTGACTTCCCTGCAGGGAGATGTGTTGTTCCCAGTGTCCTGCCCTGGCAGAAGCTCCTGGATCCCTGTCAGCCCCAGGTCCCTGCATCCTGCCCAGGCTGCAGGGGCTGCTCCTTGGAGAGAGAATTCCAGGGGCTGAAGTCTCCCCTGAGCAAGGAGCTCCCCCAGGTTGGCACTGCTGGCATGAGTTTGTCTCCTCCGTGTGCTGAAATCCTGGCACTGACACCGAGCAACCCCCCCAGAACAATACCTGGAGTTTATTTTTAATTGGCCAAATTCCTTCTGATGTGAGGTTTTGAGTCATTTTCCCCTTTTCCCCCTCATCTCACACGTATTCCCAGTTTGCTGCTGCACTTTGCCTTTTCCTGCATTAAGGAGGAGTTCTGCAGAGGCAGGGGATATTTTCCCAGTGGGAGGCAATCTCAAGGATTTAGAGGACCTCCCCAGACTTTTATTCCATTATTCCCTTTCTTACTGCAGTAGGTATTTCACTTTTGGATTCCCTTCCCATCCTGATATCCTGCCTCCCTTCCTGGTGATCCCATCTCAGCTGTTTCCCTCTGAGCTTCCTGGTGCATTGATCTATTTTTGGTTTTCCCCAACTTTTCCAACTTTAAATTCCGTTTCTGTGCTTCAGCAGTGTGTTAGTTCTGTGCCAGCACACCTTCTTCCTGGGAAGTCACGTGCTGGAGGAAGAGATGCAATGTTGGGATTATTTAAACAAAGTTTGTTTGAGATAGAGCATCCCAAGTGCGTGAGTGGCTGGAATTCAGGCCCCAACTCTGTGTCAGATTTGTAATTCCCATGCTTGTGTTAATTTGCTGCTGCAGTTCCAAGGAGTTCTGGGATCTGGGTCACCCTCCCTTTCCATGGGCACTGTCAGGCCAGGGATGTTCTGAAGGTTTCCAGTTGGTGTTTTCCATGGATTTGCAGCTTAACCTCCTGTGTCCCTGCTGCTCAGAGCAGCATTTTTGGGAATGCCTGGTCCTGGGAGGGCTCAGCTCAGCCTTGGGTTCCCAGCACATCCAAACTCCCCTGGCTCCTGGGCACAGCTCCGGGAGGAGCCCTGGAAAGCTGGGAAAAGCTGCCAGCATTCAGGGAAGGCACCAAACCCCTCTCCAAGGATGTTCCCATCCCTGGGATCACAAATCCGAGGCTTTTCCTTCTGTTTCCTGGATTTAATCACTCCTTCCACACAATTCCCCAGCTGTGCTCCCTGGCTCAGCCCCATCCTGGGGGTATGTCAGAATCTGTGGGTATTGATGATCCCAGATTGTAGAAAGTCTCTTTCAGCCCCGCTGCCAAAGCAGAAGCCATAATTGGTCTGTGCTGGTTTCAAGGTTGTTTATTCTGTTTATCTCTAACATGTTCTGCTGCCCTGCCGCAGCTCTGTCCTGCAGGGCAGCGTGTGGGGCTCTGCCCTCAGTGGGATGGTACAAACATTAAATACCACAAACTACCTGTGCTGGATTTACAATAACGTGCCAATATCTGTCACCTACGTTGGACAGTGTGTCCCCAGCCTGAACCAACAGAAAAATGCCAACACCACAGTGAAACATGGAGGGCATGAAGAAGGAGAGAAAGGACAAGACACACCCAATTTCCTCCATCTTGTGCCCTTTGGACCCCCAATCTAAAATCCTAAAATTTTACTTTTGCACCCGTGCCACACTTAATTATTACTGATATCAAACACTCAGAGCTGGTAATTGATCCTGTAAGATTGAAAACTCTTTTCCATGGACAGAGATCACAGCCAGTGTCTCTGGGGGCTCTGTCCAGGGGGGTTCCTGACCCCTGCCAGGGTCCCAGGGCAGCCAGAGGGAAGCTCTGGATTCTCACAGGGCTGGAGGCTCAGGGATGGCTTTTCCCAGGGGATTGAATGGGCACAGAAGGGGGTGTGGGGTACAGAATTCCTGCTCTGCCAGTGTGAGGGGCACAGGGAAACCCAAACCTTGGGGTTCTGGCCTCATAGCCCACGATTAACCTGGTGTTAATGGATGTGGCATCTTTGATTAACCTGGTTCCATGGATGTGGCATCCTTGGGAGGCACAGGCAGGAAAATCCCGAGGGTTTGGGATTTTGGCACAGACAGGTGAATGTTGCTTTTGGGTCTTGCAGAAGCGGGTGTGCCAGCTGCTGGACACTATTCCCCGGGAGGCTGGTGCCCAGCTCGTGGGCTGTGCCATGGATGTGGATTCCAGGCAGAAACTCCTCCCTGACTCTGCTCCCTGGGCTGCAAGGACCAAGCAGAATTCCGTGGTGAGTCCCCACTGTCCGTGGGTTTGCTGCAAAATCACTTCTCAAATTATTTATTATTTTATATTTATTATATATAATAATTATATTATTATATTATCTATTATAATTGTTTATATTTATTATTTTGATAATAAAGCTGTAAATAATTGCCTTCTTTTTTAAATTTTTTGATGAATCTGTGTCTGGTTTTGTTCCTCAGATTTTGGAAAATCATGGGAGCAAGGGCATTTCCCAGCCCTGCCCGAGATGTGTTGCTGGAGAATCTGTAAGTGTGGGAATCTGCTTTTTGGGACAAAAAGGACTGGGAGTTGTTCCCCAGTAAAAAACGTGAAGTTAATAACCTCCACAATTGCATTACTCAGGAATAAAGCGTGGAAATTAAAAATAAAGGAGATGGATTCAGCATTCCAGCAGAGCACAAATTAATATTTCCAGCAGCAGTTGGAAAATCTGGAGATTCTCAACACATCTTTCAAATTCTCTCTAAAAAGCAGAATTTGGGAAATAACTGAAAGAAACAATAACATAACCCTTCCTCTAGCCCATTTTACTTGTCCTTGATTTACTGGATCATAACAAAATATTCAGGAATCTCATTGTGCCTCCTGTGTTTTCCTGTAATTGGCTATTTCCTTTCTAAGGAATAGATAAAATATTGAAAATATTGCTCCTTGCAGAGCCAAAATGAGGAGAGGTGTGAGGAAATGCTGGATGTTCAAAGCAAAATCTCCGATTTATGGAATTAAAGGCAAATTTTCCATCAAAGTTTCCATCGGGAGCTGTGACTGAGCAGACATTGATTGTGTTAATTTATTTCCACTCATCCCTGAAAAGGGAAAAAAAAAAAAAAAAAACAAAACAAAAAAGGGGGAATATTTGTGGTGGTGCTCATGAGGAAAAGTTTTTTTTTGCCAAGCTCCTTTGCAGTGACCTGAGATTTTCTCATTCCAGGGCCACTTCAGTCACATCCTGGGCTTCTAGAGGAGGAGAGGGACCAGAGGAGCAGCTCTGATTCCTGAGCTGGTCCTGCCCTGCCCTGCTGCCACTCTGGGCACCACTGCTGCCATCCTCAGAATTTGTTTTAAAAGGACAAGGAGAGGCTGATTTCATGTTTAGGTAGCTCAGAATTTGTTTTAAAAGGACAAGGAGAGGCTGATTTCATGTTTAGGTAGCTCAGAATTTGTTTTAAAAGGACAAGGAAAGGCTGATTTAATTTTTAGCTCAGAATTTGTTCATAAAGGACAAGAAAAGGCTGATTTCATGTTTAGGTAGCTCAGAATTTGTTTTAAAAGGACAAGGAAAGGCTGATTTAATTTTTAGCTCAGAATTTGTTCATAAAGGACAACAAAAGGCAGGTTTCATGTTTAGGTAGAATTCATTCATAAAGGACAAGGAAATGCAGATTTCATGTTTAGGTAGCTTAGAATTTGTTCATAAAGGACAAGGAAAGGCAGATTTCATGTTTAGGTAACTCAGAACTTGTCTAAAAAGGACAAGAAAAGGCAGATTTCGTGTTTAGGTAGCTCAGAATTTGTCTAAAAAGGACAAGAAAAGGCAGATTTCGTGTTTAGCTCAGAATTTGTTTTAACAGGACAAGAAAATGGTGATTTCATGTTTAGCTCAGAATTTGTTCATAGAGGACAAGGAAATGCAGATTTCATGTTTAGGTAGCTCAGAACTTGTCTAAAAAGGACAAGAAATGGCTGATTTCGTGTTTAGGTAGCTCAGAATTTGTTTTATACGTAAAGGTCAAAAATTTTAAGATAAAAAAATGTAAGGCTATCCTGTCCTCCCTCTTTCTTCTTCCTTAGTCCATGTTCTTAGTAATGTTGGCACTCACAAATTAGTTTAAAGTAAAAAAGCACCATTTAATATAAATAATAAACATTAAAAAGATTTCAAACATTTAACACATAATACACCATATAGAAAATAAAATCAGCCCTAAGCAAGGAAAAATAAAAAGACAAAAAACAAAACAAAAAAAATCAAAGTACGTGTGTGCCTTTACCTAAGCTGCTAAACAAACTGCAGCAGCTCAGAAAAAAAAAATGTTTTAAATAACTTAAAATAAACAACAGCAGCTCCCTGGCCTCTCCAGCTGAATAAAACCACCTTTAGCTCCTCTCACACCCCTGATATTCCTGATTTTTTCCCCACATTGGAAGGCAGAAGCAATTCCAAGGTGAGCTTTTCCTCTCGGATGTGCTGCCTTGCTCCGTGTTTTCCAGCAGGGCAAGGAGGGATTTTTTTAAAATCTCTGCCTGGAAACAAATTGGAGTTTAATTGTCTGCTCCACTGAAGGCTTTTAATAGTGATATTTTTTTAAATAGATGTGTTTGTAATTTATTTTGGGATTTTCCAGGATCATAAAGCTGGCACGGGCTGGGGCACTGAATATTCCTTTAAAGCAGATTTGTGTCAAATCTGCAGTGGAACCACAGAGTTATTTTTGTATGCCTTGTAGAACTCTGAAATTTTGTTTTCTTGATGAAAAAAAATATATAAACTTTTTATTCCCTACTGCTGTGGTTTGTACACAGAATAACCAGAGTGATGCTTTATTTACCTGTATATAGAGAGAAAGGCCCTGGCCTGTTTTTAATTCAGGTTTAAAGGATCTAATTCTTATTTTTAACTTTGTATTTTGTAAATTGTTCCTTACAAAAGCAGAAACATTAAACACCACTTTGGCTGCAGCATGGAGTTGTCTGGTTGTGTTATTCCATGAATGGTCTCTGAGGAATAAAGGTAAATAAAACCTCTGATGAGGAGAAGAAATACATTACCTGTGTCATGTAAAATCTTTGTAGTGGGTTTAGGTGCTCACTTTATTAATTTGATGGTAATTACAGGTCCACTTGGCATCTGGACTGCCAAAAAAAGAGGGAAAATCAAAATATTGGGATAAGTGGGGTTTAAAGGCAACCTGGATCTGACAAGCCAAGACTTATGTGTTGAAATGAATATAGTTAATATATTTAAATTTATTTTTGTTTATTTTAAACACTATAATTTATTGACTAGATTTAAAATCCGTGGTGTTTATGTCTAAATTAGTTACTTAAAACCTCCTGGGAGCGTGGTGTGATACCCAGCGTTAGCAGATGCAGTCACACATAAATAACTCTGCCTTTGCCTGGATTACTGCAGCTAATTATCCAATTAACACTCACACTGGGCATTTCCTCCCACATCACTCGGGGTCCCTGCGTGTCCGTTCTGGGGCTTGATGCTCTGAGCAGGGGCAGGGCTGGAGTTTTGGGCAGAGGGATTTTTTTCCTGGGAGGCTTTGGGAGCCTGCAGAGCTGTTCCTCCTCTTCTCCCCATCCCCAGGGCTTGGCCAGGGACCTCCTGAGTTGTTCCCTCCTTCCCAACTCTTCTCAAGGAAGCAAAAAAAAGCAGTGCCCACAATGTTTAAACACACAGAAAAATAAAAAATCCCAGGAAGATGTACAGTCACGGAATTGTTCAGCTTGGAAAAGGCTCTGAGCCCTTCCAGTCCAGCCCTGCCCAGGCCACCCCTGCCCCTGTCCCCAAGTGCCACATGCACAGGGCTGTGACATCCCCCCAGGGATGGGGGCTCCAGCCTTTTCCAGGAGGGAATTTTTCCAATATCCATCCTGAGCCTCCCCTGGCACGGCTTGAGGCTGTTTTTTGTCAGAATCCCAGCCTGGTTTGGGTTGGGAGGGACCTCAGATCCCCCCCAGTGCCACCCCTGCCATGGCAGGGACACCTCCCGCTGTCCCAGGGTGTTCCAGGCTGGCCTTGGGCACTGCCAGGGGAGAATATTTTGGTGGGATTATGGTGGGGATACTTTGGTGTGACTATGGTGAGGATATTTTGGTGTGATTATGGTGAGGGATATTTTGGTGTAATTATGGTGGGGATATTTTGATGTGATTGATTATGGTGGGGATATTTTGGTGTGATTATGGTAAGGGTTATTTTGGTGTGATTGATTTTGGTGGGGATATTTTGGTGTGACTATGGTGAGGATATTTTGGTGTGATTGATTTCGGTGGGGGATATTTTGGTGTGATTGATTATGGTGGGGGATATTTTGGTGTGATTTATTATGATGGGGATATTTTGGTGTGATTATGGTGAGGATATTTTGGTGTGATTGATTATGATGGGGATATTTTGGTGTGATTATGGTGGGGGATACTTTGGTGTGATTGATTATGGTGGAGATATTTTGGTGTGACTATGGTGGGGATATTTTGGTGTGATTGATTTCAGTGGGGGATATTTTGGTGTGATTGATTTCAGTGGGGGATATTTTGGTGTGATTATGGTAAGGGTTATTTTGGTGTGATTGATTACGGTGGGGGATTTTTTGGTGTGATTATGGTGTTGTTACTGCAACAATCCCGAAATCGCTGCGTGATATTTGCTTGCAACACAGGGTGTCATTCATGAGTTATACATAAATGGCAGCTTTACATATTTAAAAGGAACATGGACTGCTTCATATCTGAAGTATGGTTCCCAGGGGAGAACACCACCATTTGATCTATTTTTGATTAAAATGTAAAAATTAAAAATTAAATCAAATGGTAGTCAAATTCCTCGGGGAAAACATACTTCAGTTATGAAGTATTCCCCGTAGTAACCTTGAGAATCTTACAGCTGTATTGTCTCATCTGTAGGTGGTCTTTTTATGTCTCACATAATTAAAATGAATTGCTGGTAGAGAACCCCTACTACTGCATACAGATTTATGAACCTGGAGGCACCTCCACTGCCAGACAAACAGGGACAGCCACGCTCCCTGTGCAGCTGTGCCGAGGCCAGGCAGCCTCTGGAGCCTGGGATTTGTGGGAATCAGGGGGCAGGGAAGAGCAGGGGCTGGGGGAAGGAGTGGACAGGATCCCCGAGGTGGGACAGGACCTCCCAGACCCCTGGGTCCACCCTGTCACTGCTCCATCCCCACCCTGTCCCCATCCCCAGCTCTGAGTGCCACCTCCAGGTGACACCTCCAGGGATGGGATCCAACCCTCCCTGAGCAGTTCCAATCCCTGAGCCCCTTTCCATGGGGAAATTCCTGCTGTGCCCACCCTGAGCCTGCCCTGCCCAGCCTGAGGCCGTTCCCTCTGCTCCTGTCCCTGTCCCTGGAGCTGTGCAGAGCCAAAGGGTACCCCCTGATCCCCCTTTTCTCTGGGCTGAGCCCCCTCAGCTCCCTCAGGAGTTCCCCAGCCCCTTCCCAAATCCCTCAGGAGCTCCCAGCCTCTTCCCAAATCCCTCAGGAGTTCTCCAGCCCCTTCCCAGCTCCCTCAGGAGTTCCCCAACCCCTTCCCAAATCCCTCAGGAGTTCTCCAGCCCCTTCCCAAATCCCTCAGGAGTTCCTCAGCCCCTTCCCAAATCCCTCAGGAGTTCCCCAGCCCCTTCCCAGCCCCCCCAGGAGTTCTCCAGCCCCTTCCCAAATCCCTCAGGAGTTCCCCAGCCCCTTCCCAGCCCCCTCAGGAGTTCCTCAGCCCCTTCCCAAATCCCTCAGGAGTTCCCCAGCCCCTTCCCAGCTCCCTCAGGAGTTCTCCAGCCCCTTCCCAGCTCCCTCAGGAGTTCTCCAGCCCCTTCCCAGCTCCCTCAGGAGTTCCCCAGCCCCTTCCCAGCTCCCTCAGGAGTTCTCCAGCCCCTTCCCAGCTCCATTCCCTGCCCTAGCCACGCTCCAGCCCCTCCAGGGCTCTCCTACGCTGAGACCCCGAGCTGGATTGAGCTCTCAAAGTCCCTGTGGTGGCACAAAGCGACAATCCCTGCCCTGGTCCTGCTGCCACAGGACTCAGCGTTTCAAATATCTGAGGAACCCTTGCTGTACTAAGCAACGGCTAAATGTCACCAGAACATGATTGTGAAATTGGATTTCCCAGGAAAATGTGCTCTACACAATCTAATGCAACTTATTTCTAGCAAGCTGCTTTATCAGGCTGCCTTGGAATATGGGAATGTATATTTGATAAGATTAGGGAATCGTGGGGATCAGGAAAAATAAGACTCTAGACTTTGCATTCCCATTTTCACCCAGCTGAAGGACAAACATGTCATTTATTTTGTGTTTGGTTGTGATTCTCATGGTCCTGGTAATGTACCCACAGCAGTGGCTTGTGACTGTGCATCCTGCTCAAGCTGTGACTAAAACTTCCCTAACAACATTTCCGTAAAAAAAGAAGGGTATGGAAGCGAAATGCTTGGATTTATAAAGAAAACAAAACAATTCTAACAATAAAAGTGTAGAGTCGATGAGTTCTGCAGTGCCTTGCAGAAACATTTTGTAATAAGCAGCAGGAGTGTTCAAATTTCAGAGTAATACTTGAAAGGAAATGTCTCTGATCTTTGAGTTTCTTTGGAGAGGGGAGTTTTTAATGTATAATCAGATTAAAATCCTCCTGTAATTGCTTGAAGCGGAGTGCTGGGGGTGGTAGGGAGTCCTGGCTTGGGGAATCAGGGGTGTGTCACTACAGGACACATGAAAACACGACACGAGCTGCTGCTATTGCAAAGGTGGAAAAGGGGAAGTTTATTTTCTGACTCCAGCATTTCTACTTTTCCCAAAGTGGATTGGAGGGTGAACGTGCCACCTCTCCAGTGACATTGGACAAACTACCAGTACATCAAATTTCTCCTCCTCCATGGAGGAATGGTAAATAATGGTAAATAATAGATTGTTTACAGAAAGTTGGGTGAGAAAGTTCTCTACAAGAATGTAAACTCAGAAGAAGGCTTTAGAAAATCCTAAGAATCAGGGCAACAGGGGTGTGAGGTGTTCCCGGAGCAGCAAGATGAGGTGGGCCCAGAAGTCACTCACACGGTGCACATGGTGTATGGTAAGTGTTTACTTCAGCTTCTCGGGTACAATCACAGGCATTCAGCAGTCAGCATGCAAGCACACACCTCAGCTTTGCTGTGATTGTCTAAAGCTCCTTGTTCATGCACCTTTTTCTGCCTTGAGGCTGATTGGCAGCACGTCCTCCCCACCTTCCTCCCCACAACTGCTCCTCAGCTTCCTCCCTCCTCAAGGACACAGTGACCTCCACTCCATCACACTGGACCACCCCTCAGAAGGTCCATGACCACCCAGTGGCCTCCTGCCTCAGAAATTCCTCCACAGCTTCTTTTTGCAGCAGCCAGGCCCTGTCTACGGTCTGTTGAAGGAATGACTTTAGGCAATGAGACAAGACAACCTAAGAGAACGATCCAAATCACCAGCACGAGAATGATAGTGATTCCTTGCTTGGCTAATTCCTCCAACCAGCCTGTTATCCCTCAGCCAGTCATCCAACGGGGAATGGTAGACCCTCAGGTGTTTGAAGTCATCCAAGGGGGAATGATAGACCTGCAGGTGTTTGAAGTCATCCAAGGGGGAATGGTGGTAGACCTGCAGGTGTTTGACGTTATTGGTAAGGTCCTGGAGTTTCTTATGTGTGGATTTGGAGAGGGATTGATGCAGCACGTGCCCTCAAAGCCTCCCACCCGTGTCCATGGGCCAGCAGTAAGGAGTCTGTGGCAGCCCTGTTCCGTGACATGGCGTGGTGGGTGCTATCACCATCAGCGGTGAGCTCATTAAGCACGGCGGATGTGATATTAATTGGCTTTCCCACCCAACGTGCCAGTCGCTCTGCTGTCACCTCTGGCCACTGATGAGTGAAATTCTGTCAGTTCCTGTTGTACTTCCTTCCCCTTTCCATTTGTTCCAAGCCCA